CTCCTCCTCCTCCCCAGCCACCCTCTCTCCCGCCCCCCATCCCTCCCTGCACTCTCGCCTCCATCCCATCCCTCCTCCCTCCTGGTCATCCGTCCTCCTCATCCCGCTCGAACCATTCCTCCTCCTCCTCCTCCTCCTCCTCCTCCTCTCTCCTCCTCCTCCTCCTCCTCCTCCTCCTCCTCTCCCTCCTTCTCCTCCTCTCCTCCTCCTCCTTCCTCCTCCTCCTCCTCCTCCTCCTCCTCCTCCTCCTCCTCCATCCCTGTCCCTTATAAACAGCCCCGCCCTATCGCAAACTCAGCCGTGTCGGTAGGGCGGGCCTGGGATCCTGAAGCTTGAGATCAGCAACAATTTCACGGATGCTGGGGGGTCGTTTTCAAGATGCGGTTCTCCCCGTAGCGCCAGGAACAGCCGTGTCGAATTTTTGCAACGGCTTCATTGATGTAGGTGGGTCGTTGTCAACATGCAGTTGTCGCTTAACCACCGCGCACCCTCGCCCTAAAAGTTCGCAACCTTTTCACGGGTGGAGTGCTGTTCTCGTTCGACGCGCAGCTCTTAAAAATCTGCAACTGTTTCACAAATGAATGGAAGGGGGTCATTATCCTGCGACGTACCCAACCCTTTCTACACAAATGACAAGTGCATTCAGGACCACTCAATACCGAAGGACACTTCGGCGCCATGGTATAGTGGTGATCTGCGTAGGACGTACCTCCGCTGAGCCTCCCAGAAGCCAATGCGCGCCAGGTGAGCCAAGCGCGCCAGGCGCGCCAGGTGCGCCAGGTGCGCCAGGTGCGCCAGGTGCGCCAGGTGCGCCAGGTGCGCCACGTGCGCCAGGTGCGCCTGGCGCGCCAGGCGCGCCAGGTGCGCCAGATGCGCCAGGCGCGCCAGGTGCGCCAAGTGTGCGCCAGGTGTGCGCCGGGTGTGCGCCCGGTGTGCCAGGTGCGCCAGGTGCGCCAGATGCGCCAGGTACGCCAGGTGCGCCAAGCGCGCCAGGTGCGCCAGGTGCGCCATGTGCGCCAGGCGCGCCAGGCGCGCCAGGTGCGCCAGGTACGCCAGGCGCGCCAAGTGAGCCAGGTGCGGCAGGTGTGCGCCAGGTGTGCGCCCGGTGCGCCTAGCGCGCCAGGTGCGCCTAGCGCGCCAGCTGCGCCAGATGTGCCAGGTGCGCCAGGTGCGCCAGATGCGCATCAAGGTGCGCCAGGTGCGCCAGGTGTGCGCCAGGTACGCGCCAGGCGCGCCAGGTGCGACAGGTGCGCCAGTTGCGCCAGGCGCGCCAGTTGCGCCATGCGCGCCGGGCGCGCCAGGTGCGCCAGGTGCGCCAGGTGTGCCAGGTGCGTCAGGTGCGCCCAGCGGCCCAGGTGCACCAGGTGCGCCCCAGGTGCTCCCAGCGCGCCAGGTGCGCCAGGTGCGCCCAGCGCGTCAGGTGCGCGCCAGATAGGCGCCAGGAGCGCGCCAGATGCGCGCGCCAGGTGCGCCAGTTGCGCCAGGTGTGCGCCAGGTGCGCGGCAGGTGCGCGCCAGGTGCGCGCCAGGTGCGCCAGGTGCGCCAGTTGCGCCAGGTGTGCCAGGTGCGCCAGTTGCGCCAGGCGCGCCAAATGAGCCAGGTGCGCCAGGTGCGCCAGGTGCGACAGGTGCGCCAGGTGCGCCAGGTGCGCCAGGTGCGACAGGCGCGCCAAGTGCGCCAGGTCTGCGCTAGGCGTGGCAGGTGCGCCAGGTGCGCCCAGCGCGCCAGGTGCGCCAGGTGCGCCAGGCGTGCCCGGTGTGCGCCAGGTGCGCGCCAGGTGCGCCAGGTGCGCCAGTTGCACCAGGCGCACCAGGCGCGCCAGGTGCGCCAGGTGCGGCAGGTGCGCCAGGTGCGCCCAGCGCGCCAGGTGCGCCAGGTCCGCGCCAGGTGCGCGCCAGGTGCGCCAGTTGCACCAGGCGCGTCAGGTGCGACAGGTGCGACAGGTGCGCCAGGTGCGCCAGGTGCGTCAGGTGCGACAGGTGCGCGCCAGGTGCGCCCAGCGCGTCAGGTGCGTCAGGTGCGCCCAGCGCGCCAGGTGCGCGCCAGGTGCGCCAGGTGCGCGCCAGGTGCGCCAAGGGGACAGGGAGGCCTCAAAGTGATCTGCGTAGGACGTACCTCCGCTGGGCCTCCCAGGAACCCACGAAAGTGGCGACAGTTGCGCAGATCGCAGCCCCGCAGGGGACAGGGAGGCCTCAAAGTGATCTGCGTAGGACGTACCTCCGCTGGGCCTCCCAGGAACCCACGAAAGTGGCGACAGTTGCGCAGATCGCAGCCCCGCAGGGGACAGGGAGGCCTCAAAGTGATCTGCGTAGGACGTACCTCCGCTGGGCCTCCCAGGAACCCACGAAAGTGGCGACAGTTGCGCAGATCGCAGCCCCGCAGGGGACAGGGAGGCCTCAAAGTGATCTGCGTAGGACGTACCTCCGCTGGGCCTCCCAGGAACCCACGAAAGTGGCGACAGTTGCGCAGATCGCAGCCCCGCAGGGGACAGGGAGGCCTCAAAGTGATCTGCGTAGGACGTACCTCCGCTGGGCCTCCCAGGAACCCACGAAAGTGGCGACAGTTGCGCAGATCGCAGCCCCGCAGGGGACAGGGAGGCCTCAAAGTGATCTGCGTAGGACGTACCTCCGCTGGGCCTCCCAGGAACCCACGAAAGTGGCGACAGTTGCGCAGATCGCAGCCCCGCAGGGGACAGGGAGGCCTCAAAGTGATCTGCGTAGGACGTACCTCCGCTGGGCCTCCCAGGAACCCACGAAAGTGGCGACAGTTGCGCAGATCGCAGCCCCGCAGGGGACAGGGAGGCCTCAAAGTGGTCTGCGTAGGACGTACCTCCACTGGGCCTCCCAGGAACCCACGAAAGTGGCGACAGTCGCCCAGATCGCAGCCCCGCAGGGGACAGGGAGGCCTCAAAGTGATCTGCGTAGGACGTACCTCCGCTGGGCCTCCCAGGACCCACGAAAGTGGCGACAGTTGCGCAGATCGCAGCCCCGCAGGGGACAGCCAGGAGCCCACGAAAATGGCGACAGTTGCGCAGATCGCAGCCCCGCAGGGCACCGCGAACACAGGAGAGAAGGAGGAGGAGAGGGCGGGAGGTGGATACCACAGGGCTCTAGTCAAAACGAATACCCAACACAAGGAGGGTTGGGAAAAACATATGATCGCCTGAGCGCCGCTCACATTCGTTTGAAAGGCTTGCAACAGTGTCACAAATATACAAGGAGGCGAAATGGTGCTCTCGCTTTAGCGCCGCGCACACTCGTCATTGCGCGCTTCAAAATATGACTCTCGCATAGCGTCGAGCACATTCGTCTTAAAAGTTGGCAGCAGCTTGACAGATGAATGGGGTAATCAGGCCTCAGCGCGAGGCGCATGCCATTGAAAATGTCGCGCTCGCTTCACGGATAGACGAAGCTTCCTTCTGAAAGCGGGGTTCCCGCCTGAGCGCCGCGAACATGCGTCTCAAATGTTGCAACTGTTGAACAGTAAATGAGCATTGGTCGTTCTCACCATGTGGCAATCGCCTCAGCGCCGCATGCACTGGTCATATTTCTTTTTCAAAGTGAAGCTCTCGCCTGGGATTTCCCTAGGTCTGCGAACAAAACTCTAATGCACGTAGCGCTGCACGTAATCATGGCTGCTCTTCTTCAAAACTGAGCTTCCGCTGGAAACTTCTTCGAAACTCATGACCGCATGCATGAATTTTGTGCGACGGTTACACGGGTGGGAGGGTCCTTCGTCGAAAATGGTTTCTCACTGGACACCTCGTTGAACAGTATGACCATTGTCTGTCATGTTCCGGGCTTTGCGTCACTGGGATGCGGAGCAAATCCGTATCGAAGCAGCATTGTTTACGCGTACTTGGCTTACTCTAGTCTCCCTCCTACTCCTCCATCTTTCGCCCGCATTCCCGCAACCGCTGCTCCGGCGCGGGCTTTTCCCCGCAGACAGTGGAAAGCGCACGAGACTCCGTAAACAGTTTGGGGTCGGCGCCCACGACCTGCATGCCACGTGGGCTGCGGCGTCGGGGCCGCCAGTCTTCGAAGTCTGGAGTGGGTCCTCCGACAGTCTGCAAGCGACTCAGCTGCCAGCGGCTCTGCCTACATCTTCCACCACCACTACCACCACCATCATCAGCAGCATCCTCATCAACATCATCAGCATCCTCATCAACATCATAATCATCATCATCATCATCAACATCATCATCATCATCATCATCATCATCATCATCATCATCATCATCGTCGTCGTCGTCGTCATCATCATCATCATCATCATCATCATCATCATCATCATCATCGTCAGCATCATCGTCATCATTGTCATCGTCATCATCAGCATCATCACCATCAGCATCATCACGATCATGCTCATCATCATCATCATCATCATCAGCAGCAGCAGCATCATCATCATGATCATCATCAGCATAATCATCATCATCATCATCATCATCAGCAGCAGCATCATCATCATCACAATCAGCAGCATCAGCATCATCGTCATCATCATCACCATCATCATCATCGCCATCATCATCGCCGTCCTCCTCCTCCTCCTCCTCCTCCTCGTCCTCGTCGTCGTCGTCATCACGATCATGACAGCATGATCATCACCGCCACTTCCACCACCTCTATAGTCATCATCAGCAGCAGCAGCTCCAGGACGAGCAGAGCGCTTCTCGAGGGCCCTGGGCCTTGGTCTGCACCCTCTCCCTACCCCGGTGCTTTCGACGGGGATGCGTAAGACTGGAACTCAGGCAACTCGAACTTACTTGACGGGGCCGTCCACCAGATGACGGGACCCAGTCTGAAGTTTGGCACGAGCTCCCCCGCTGCAAACATCTCACCAAAACTGACCCGTCAGAACTCTTGCTCGGACCGCCAAAGAGCTGCGGCCCGGAGCTCTGGAGAGCTCGAGTCTCACGCCGCCCCACAGGAGCTGCCGCACGGGCGGCCCGAGGGGAGGCACTTCCCCCAGATTTCATCCGCCGGAGAAGCCTGCTCCGCTTCCTCTCCGCTTCTTGCCTGGCTGGCGCGGGCTCGGGGCCGCGGCGGCGGCTCGAGGCACCAGGAGCGGCCGGCAAGGCCGAGGGGAGGCCGCGGCATCGATGGATGGTCGATCGAGCGGTCGAAGATCGTTGATCGATCGAGGATCGGAGGGGGGGGGGCAGCGGTCGGGGGGGGGCGGGGGGCTGGGCGGCAACGGAGGCCTCTGAGGACAGAGAGGCCGAAGCCTGGGCCGAGGATCGGTCGGGGGGCCGGTCGGGGCCGAGGGGGGTTAGGCGGCGGGCCCAGACCTCCAGCGCATTGGACGGTCGATGTTCGCCGTTTCCGGCGGTCTCCGCGGGCCCTCGCCGGGCCCCAGGGACCGTGAGAAAACACCTCCGCAGGGAAGGCCAGCCCCAGAGAAAGGGTCGGGACTTGTGAGGACCTCGCATTCGAGGGAGGTCGACGCCTGGGGAGGGGGCGGGAATAGCCGAGGGGAGGTCGAGATTGAGCAGGAGAGGGTGGTCGAGATAATTCCAATATCATCGGGCACTGAGCTTGGGAAGATCCAGGGAAGGGAGAGCCTGGAGAACCTCCGCCGATCTCGACGACCCGAGGCCGCTTCCACGCCGCAAGTCTTTCGAAGGGAAGCAACAGAAGGATGACGGTGAAGGGGTCGACCTCTCTGGGGCTGGCGATTCAAACAAAACAAACATCTAGGATGCTTAGTTTGGCCGTTGCTGGGGCGGCTGGCGGGAGAGAGATGCTGCCCAGCCGCCCGACACCACCCTCCATGGCCGAGGGCCAGCACACGGGCACCTGACCATGCCTCCCTCCCTTTTCCGACCCCATCCTCCCCTCACCCTCCAGGAGGACTCTGCAAATCCGTGTCTCCGAAGATCCCCGGAGGCCTCCAGGGGCCCCCCAGAGGCCTCTGGAGGCCGAGACAATACCAGAAGTGTCCAAAACATCGACCCTCGCGGCCGACGCGCCCGCCAGCGATACGCCGCCCGGCTGGACGGTGTGCGCCTGGCCCGCCGACAGAGCAGCGCCAGGCACGGGGGCGGATGGCGGAGGCCGCGCCGTCGCGAGAGGGGAACGCGGAGGGGAGAGGCAAGCGGCAAGCGAACGACGGCCAACTCCCCAGCGCAAGGCCAGCCGGGAGGCCAGGACCACCTCGACCCTCGGTCGTCAATCACCCTCTCCCCTTCGAGAGACCGCTGCTGCCTCGCACGGCTCTCGGGGCCGCTGCCGGGGCCACGCGAGCGCCTCCTGCGCATCTCACCACGGCCGACACCTCCCCGCGCCTGGCACCTCGGATCTGCGGCCTCCTGGAGGTGCTCCGCAGACCGGGACCTCGGCTAGTGCAGGAGCGTGGCGCTCTCCTGCCGCCTTCCTGCACCACGTCCCTGCCACTGTCCTGCACCTTCCTGCGCGCGGCCGAGATACAGCCATCGAGCTACCAAAGGGAACGCTGAACAAGACACCGAAGGGGCCCCCTGGCCACGTACCGGACCTAGATCTGAGGGTCGGCCCGAAAACAACAGCCCCCTAAAAAGTTGTCCTTACCTCGGCAAACCGACTGCACCCGTTACTTGGTGCCCGCCTCAGCGGCGCTGATCGGGGCCACACGCCCGGTGCGAGCAGCCGGGCACCCGAGCGACTTCGCTTGCCGCCCCTTTTCTTGTCCTTCCTCATCCTCTTCTTCTCCATCCTGGCCGCCGCGGCGGCGCTGGCGGCGTAAGCCTCCGCGGGGTGCGAGGAGGAGGAGGAGTAAGAGGAGGAGGAGGAGGAGGAGGAGGAGGAGGAGGAGGAGGAGGAGGAGGAGGAGGAGGAGGAGGAGGAGGGGGGGGAGGAGGAGGAGGAGGAGGAGGAGGAGGCGGAGCGTCCCCAGAGGTCCCTTGGTCAAGCTACCCTTGGCCCCTCTGCCGCTGCCCGCTCGAGCGCCTCCACTCGCCCATCGGCAAGTCGGTGGCGAGGCGAGCTGCGCGGGCGATGAGGAGTGAGGAGGGCGGGTCGGGCGCGGTCGAGCCAGGAGCTCGCCTTCGCGCGTGCAGCAGGCGGTGGAAATGATAAAGACTGACAATCTGACGCAGACGCACCAGCGAGCATTCAGAAAGAGCAAGACGGTCAGAGAGAGAAGCAGGAAGGTTGAGACGGGAGACCATAGCAACATTCCAGAGAAATCGGCGGCAATCGATGTAGTGAGAAAGGCTATCTCGGGCGCATTCGCACCCGAGCAGGCAGCCTCGGTCGGCATTCCTTAGTCTGGTGTCTGTGACCCACCCCCCTGTCCAGGTACGGATGGCGGCCATCCGCCAAGAGGGGGGGGCCGAGGCGAGCATCGAATTAATGGCAGCCCAGTCGAAAGCCGCTGAGGTCTCGAGAGGGATCGAGAACCACTTGACGAGACGGAGACGCAGGCAGGCGATGAGAGACCGAGGAGGGGAGGAAGGGGCACGAGGGGGAGACAGGTAAATCGCAGGACGGATACCTCTCAAGAGAGCGCGCTGCACTTTGAATATTGGGACGCCTCTGCCAGCAGCGCCAGATCGCTCCACCCTCTGCGGTGCGGAGCGTTCCCGCGCAGCACGACGCTCGGCCACGAGGGCCGCCAGCCCCTTTTGGGCCGCCCGACGGTCCCGCCCCAAAGACGGCCTAGCTTCCGCCGCCTCCCGCAGAGACCACGCAACCGCCGGCTCCCGCCAGAAGGACGGCCAGTGGCAAAGCTCCTGGGCCCCGCGGGGGCCGCGCCAGTGCAGCTGGCCAACCTGGGCGTGCTCCCACGCAGCGGCTTCTAGGAGGCCGCACATCCTGGACCAACACTCTTTAAACGACAGGGCTGTCCTCATCCTGGCGGCGAGAGCGTTGCTTCGGATACCCTGGACCCGCGGACCCGCGTCGCCGCCCTGTCGCGTTCCCATGCTGACACTGCTGCCGTCGTCTCGCTCTACCACGAGCGCGCGCTTAGCGTGCTCTCATACAAGTCGCAGTTATATGAGATCCCTCGGTCCCTCCAGCGGCGTGAGAAAGATCTGTTGACTCGCGTGTTTCGGGCCCCTGGATCCTGGCTCTCTGCCTCCTGCTTCCTCGACCTCGACTCCCTCGGAGGAGGAGGAGGAGGAGAAGGAAGAGGAGAAGGAGGAGGAGGAGGAGGAGGAGGAGGAGGAGAGAGAGTTTTGCCTGAGATCCCACAGGACACACCCGCTAACGTACCATCTCTTTTCGAGGCCAGACCCCAGGCGCGTGCTCTTTGGAGCGCCGCGATCGATAAAATGTAGTTATCTTATCTTGTCAGCGTGGTTGAACCTGAGAAAGACTTGCACCGCTGGCAGCGGTCTAGGCGAAATCAGGTCAGATTGTTGGTGGCTCTCAATGCAGCACGACGGCTTCTCGACGGTCATCACAGTTCAATGACATACAACACGTGGAAATGTCAGTCATGCAGCAGGGACGTGAAGAACTGGCACAATGGTTGCCTATGTGGGCACTCGTATAATCATATTCAACCCAGAGGTGCTCAGAGGCAAAGAAGTAAAGGTGCTGGACGTCAACAAGATGGAATCGTGCAGAATTGCATCGAGAGGCCACCGCCCATGCCACACAGGCCGGCAAGGACACTTTCGGCTTACAGGACTCGTCCCACCAGAAGCTCAGATTTGCCCAGCTTCAAGAAGGAGATCCACAGCCAGATGGGAAAGTTGGCAAACCTGGCCACCATGGCAAAGAAAGCGAACAAGAACGAGGACGCCGAGAGACACGGCATGGAGCTGATGATGCTCAAGTCAGCCATCAACAGCTTGAACACGGAGAGGGAACAGAAAAGAGATGTGAATTTTAAGATGGACAAGCAGAAGACGCGTTCAGCAGCACAGACAGTCGCATGATGATGCTTCAATTGCAGTAAAGAGAGAGTTGCATGAACGAGCTCAACGAGATGCCCGGAAAGCCAGAAGATAGATTGCTATGCAAGATGGTGGGCGACAGCAGTCTTACATGCAGCAGCAGGTTGTCGGGCAAGATGGAGCTCAGCACTACAACTTGTACGACACAAGGGGAAGGGCAACATCTGTTGTATCACCGACGGGACACATGATTGGAGGTACGGCGCCAGTAAGGCAGCATCAACAGACACAGGTTCAGCAGCAGACGATAAAGTCGAACCAGTTGCAGACACATATGCAGCAGCAGCTTTCTCAGCCTGGGCAGACGAAGCAGCATGTGCAGCCGCGGTAGATACAGCAACAGACGGTACAGCCTGGACAGGCTCAGACTGGGCAGATGCAACAGCAGGCGGCCGCCTTATCCATAGAGTTAAGTCCCAGGATTCATGGAGATGATGAGCGACAAACAGGAGCAGCAGGATCAGATGTTCAATTCAGTGATTGGATGGATGCAGGCTCAGACTACGGCGGCGGTGGGGTTTCGTGTACCACAAACCGCTGCGGGAGGGATGATACCAGCGCCTTGCACACCAGCAGCTGTTTTGGCGGCGCCTGGCACGCCGATAGGTGGAACGGCGACGTCAGCGCCACACAGGCATAAGGCATCACCGATGATACCAACGGAACAGCCCTTGCCACAGCTGACACCAGCAGAAGTTGCTGGATCGCAAGGGAGAACAAGACTCACGCAGGACATCACGAAGGACGAAGCTACGCCGTTCGAGTCGGGGCTCATGGTGAAACCCAGTGGAGATCCCGATCGAGCCGACCAGCCCCACGGAACCCATGGCCACACAGGTCGAGGACCCCTACTTGCTCATGCAGACCCCACATTCGTCGGTAACGCATCCGATGAACGTGGACGAGGTGGAGACCGAGAGGCCATCGTAGGTCAAGAGGGAAGCCGAGAAGATCGATTACGCGTGTATGAAGAGAGAGGTCGAGAGGATAGATCAGGCGTGCGCGGGGCAGAGGCGATCACGACAGGGAGCAGCTCATCTCGGGCGGCTTCAGTGGCTTGCGGACAGCGAGACCCCAACAGGTCACCTCCCTCGAAGACGGCCAAGCTGAAAAGCTTGGGAGACGCCTGAGCAGACAGGAACCGAAGTACGGCAAGCTCGGCAACTTCAGCAGCAGGGTCTTGATGCAGGTACACATGAACATGAAGCTGGGGGTTATCTGAGTGAGGCCATGCAGGTAATCAAAGGAAAAGGCGTGCGTTTTCCTTTCAATCAAGCAATGATGCTTGCACCTCTTCGGCCGCCTCGGTCCTGCCAGGCGCTTCCGCCCCTGCCAGGACGATTTGGGGTCCAAGGCCCAGGTCCATTCTCACGAGATCTGATGCTTTACCTTCGGGCACCAGGTCCGCGAACTTGGGGTGCAATTCCAAATCATTGAAACAGCGACTCAGTCAACCACCGGAGAAGGGCGAGGCTCGCCATGGGCCAATTCGAGAGGCTTCAGCGGCAACGGGGATGAGCGAGGCTCGGGACGGTAGCAGACACGACACCCCGACTAGATGTTCGAACATGACACATGTGCAGTTTCAGTGTGCTGCCCTTGCTGGGGAAGGGCCTTTGGAAGGGTCGGGGACCTAGTGGAAGGCAGCAGGCTTCATTTCGAGAGCTTCGAACTTCCTGAACTTCTAGCGGCGGGTCTACGTGGACCTGAAGCTGATGCGGTCCACGTTTTCACGGACGGCTCCTTATACCGACTAGGGGAGGGAATGGAGGCATGGGCAGTCATCATGATCATAGTACATGGGGGTATCTACTCGTAAGGGGAGGGGTGAAAAGGGGATGCCACAGCAATACCAGCAGCATGGAATTGGATCTGTCAGCTGCGACCAGCACCACGCTTGAGTGCATGGCCGTGCTGCACTGTCTTTTCTGGATCATTGCTGAGAAGCCACTGTGTCCGATAAGTATCGATAGCGACTCATGGAGCACCATACGTGCAGCTCAGGGAGGCACTCTGCCAGGGTTTGATGTCGGGATTGCCTCACTCGTGCAAGTGCTCGGAGAATGAGAATTGGTTGTTCGGGACTCTGTGGCTACCTTGGGGCACGTCAATGCCCACGGTGGGCATCCGTGGAACGCACTCGCGGACAATGTCGCGAAGATGACCGCGCGAGTTTAGGACCGTCGGTCCCTGAGCTTCCGCAGAGCTGGATCCAAGCTGCAGATTTTAGGACCACTCGTCTGTGGGAGTGGTTGCTTGATGATCATCCCGAGTCACATGCGTACCCTGATTGCAGAATTAGAGGCGACCAGCTCTCGCTCGCAGGAAAGGCGCCCACTGCTGTTGCACAAGGTCATGTGCCGTCGAGCCTGGGCATAGGGTCGAGGCAGGTGCAGGCCGCAGTTGATTTCAAGGTAGCGACGTTCAACGCCCAGTCGCTTAGGCAAGCTCACAGGCGGGTCAAGGGGCGCAATCGTGCCCGAAAAGCTGCTGCCCTGCGCACTCAATTGAATAGGAAAGGGGGGCACAGCGTGGGCGTTCAGGAGGGTCGTCATGAGAAGGGTACGCGTAAAACGGGGGACTGCGTTTGCACGTCGGCGGGTCACCATGTACTTGGAGTAGAGCTCTGGGTCAGTGCGGGGGCACCATATGGAAGAGTGAAGGGCAGGCCGTGGCAGATTAGCTTTACAACACTTGCGAATCTCACGGTCGTCACCACGATCGCTGGTTTGCCGTCTTGACGCGACTGCTGCCAATATGAATAGCGCAGTCGCTCACGCTCCGCATTCGGGAAATGGCGCTGCATGTCGCGACAAGTCTTTTTGGGGGGGATGCGAGATG